AAAAAAACAGAGAGAATTGCACCAAGATCCATGATCCATCTATTTATACCGTCACTCTATATATTAGCTTGTTTTCAGAGCCTTCAACTGTCGAATGAACATCAAACCACTAAAAGAAAGAAAGTCTCTTGACAAAAAATCTCCCAGCCAACAAATTCTTCATATGGAAGAAATACTTGGGAATGGAAGGTATAGTGCTACCACCCTTCTCTTTCTTTTTCTCTTTCTCACTCACACAAACACATATATTCTAGTGTTCCAAACAACCAATGCTCTAATAATAAGAATGAAACAGGGAGCACGGAAGGCTGTATGAGTGAGACTATAAGTAAAGAAAGAGCTGAAGCTGCGAAGAATGATGCAGGACTACCACTCTTCAATTTAAAAAGAGTTTTAGCTGCAACAAACAACTTCAATGTAGCGAATAAACTGGGAGAGGGAGGATTTGGCCCTGTTCATAAGGTGACACTTTCTAAACTGCTTGATAAATACTAATCTACAGTTTATCTAATATATGCTAACTTGGACAGGCCAAAGACATAACAGATCTAGGTTCCTTGAAGGAGGCAACAAATATCTTCATTCCAGGTATATTGTAGCATGATTTCTGTTTTCTCAGCCTCTCTAATTCTATAAACCAAAAACTTCAATATATAACTTTAATTTTCTGTAAGCGTTGATCTAGATTTACATTCCCTTTGTCCTGACAACTCAATCGAACATCTCAATCAAAAGTCACCCTAAACAATTAAAATCACAAAACCACTCTCTCACTCAGGATTGAATCATTGCACAGACTGTGATCAACATAAGCCTGCGGCAATCCTAATATCTAGGATATTATGTTCAATTGTAATTTTAAAGGACAAAACATACACATTCAAGCAAGAACTCTACAGCATGCCTGCTCAATCAGGCCATACAATTTTCAGAACTTATGTACCAAGCATATTGAACTGGCAAAGTAAACCATATGTTTCCTAGACACCATATGCTTGAGAGTCAATCTAGATAAATGGGTTTTAAAACATGAATTATTTCAAGAAGATAAAAAGAAACCTTTCTTTCTAGTTGAACATAGGGAATTTAGGATAGAATTTAAGAACCTGTGACATATACAGAAAAGCTTCGCAGTCAAGAACTATATTTTTCATATACAGAAACCAAAGTTTAAGCCACATAGCTATGTCTCAGAGCATATGGTGAAAAAATTGACGTGAGCAGAACTTAGAGAGTACACAAAGAAGGGAAGATGGCACTTTATCAGTATGGTTGCTGGTTAATCATTCCCAGTTTCTATTTTGACGAAACCTGACTAATCTTCACTTCTTTTTTCTCCATATTTAGGATACAGCAACCAAAAGCAGATAAAAAAAGGAAATTTTTATTTTATTTTTTATTTTTTTTTAAAGCACGCTTGGTCTTTGCTTTCCAGTGTGTTATCGGCAACCAAAACAGAAATTGGGAATGATTTCCATTTCTAAGATTTCTCCGAGAGAGCAAAGTCATTGAATCGACAATTGATTAAAAAAATAATAATAATAAGAACGATGGAAATACCTGAGCTAATCTGTGAGATTCAATCCCCTTCCTGATAGAACCCAATATGTTGTGAAATATAAATACCTCAGCTCCTCTTATATAGCATTAGGGATTACCCAAGAACCTGAAATCAAATTAACCAAATAAATGAACCCAAATTCGTAAAAAATAAATCAAAAATACCCTAAAGATAGAACATGGCTCACACCCACGCTCTACAAAGGACGAAAAAAATCCCAGCCAACAATCAAATTCATGAAATGAAGACCAAAAGATCTGTTAAAAAGTTGACGGGATGCATACCTGAAGACAAAGGATGCAAAAACTCGCAAGCAAGAAAGATGGAAGACGTCTGAGTCGAAGGCTGTAGAAACGATGAGAAATCTCCCGACCACAAATCTGTGAGACGAAGACTAAAAGTGCAGCTGGATTTGCAGCCCACCTCCCAAACGAAAATCGACGGCCCCCCACGCATGTCTAACAATGAATGCAGATCTTCCATAGCTGCTCCCCAACCAGCTGGTTCGAAATGGACTGAAAATGGACGCCTTCTCTGAGCGAACGAAACGTTCGCAGCGGAGGGAAAGGGGCAAAAAGGAAACAGAAGAAGATGTTTAGTTGAGGGCAGTTTCGTCAATTTACTGTTATGAAGAGAAAACAAAACAAAAACAATAGCAAAATGAGGGGCATTTCCGTCATTATACTGTGATTAGAAACAGTGTTTAGTTGGATTGAGCTTTAGTATATATATAATTTACCAAACAAATTAATGTGGAAGATTTGTTCAAAATGGAAAAGTCTTAAATTGGAATTTATGTAAGTATAACAATAAATGAAGCTATCACAATGTGTAATTAGTTGTACCTACTAGATAGGAACGCCCAGTAAATCCTCATGAGTCATGACAGAGAAAATAAAAATAGAAAAACTTTTGAACTCTCCCTCCATCACTCTAGCCTCTAACGCATAATTTAATTATTTTATTAGTTTTTTTATAAAAAAAAATAATACAATAAATTCGAGACTGTAAAAAAGGAAAATAATCCATTACATATTAAAAGCAAGATACATGTGAGATCTCTCTTAAAACCTGCCGTATGTTTAGCGTATGTAACTACATAGTTAAATGTTTTTCTATTAATCTATATTATATACCTCTATTATTATAAAGTCAGGCCTTCATCTACATATATATTTTTATATATAAGCAAAAGATATAAAATGGTGAAATATTTAAAATATCATAAAATACCCTTGGTTAATACAAATATTAAAATAATTTCAATTAAATAAGGATAATATGATAAATTCACACTTTTTCATATTTAAAAAATTAAATTAAAAACAAAATCTGATAATAGTTTCTATTTTTATGAAACAAAACTGCCCATTATATTTTTTAATTCTAAAATATAATAAAAATTTATAAATAAAAACAATTGCCAAGGGGATTTGATTTGTTTCAAAAAAAAAAAAAAAAAAAAAAAAAAAAAGGAAAGCCGATGGGATTTGATTTGTTGCCTTGTTTTCTAGGACTAGGCCAGTGGTGGGGGCCACTGACTCTCTATTGACTTGAGACTTGACCAACCCGGATTCGTACGGCAAAGATCTAACCCTGAAAAACAGCAAAAATCTAAAATTGGCTGTTCAATGAAAATGAAATCTAGTAAGTCTGGGCCCACACCACACCCATCCCCTTGGTGCCCAAGTAATACTGTAAAACAAACAAGTAGGCTCCTGTCTTGGCTTATAAGAGAAAAAACAACAGAGAAAGAAAGAAATTCGTAGAAAAAAGTCACACAAGGCAAGGCAACATGAAGGCAGTGCGAGTGAATCAGATCTCCGTTCTGAAAGCATGCGGGAACCAATTTTTACAGCGAATCTCTCCTCCTCTTGTTGCTGCTCCTTCACCTTTGCCCACCCAATTATCCGCATCAAAAATGCCCCGACCCGGAATCCGAATACTCCCAAGCAACCCCTGCCTCGACCTCTATTTCCACCGTCCCATGGGATCAGGCATCCACTCCAAGTTGGAATTCCATGAGACTCTGATGAAGCAGCTGCTGCCGCTGGCTTGGTCCTACAATCCCCTCACCACCCTCAAGCTCATTTGCAACTTCCTGGACCACGACGGTGAAAAAGGCGATAGCGAGGCCTTCTACTCCGCAGCGTTTTGGCTGCACCACAACCACCCCAAGACCCTTGCCTGCAACCTCCTGCCTATTGCAGGGGCCTGGGGCCATATTATCCACGTTCTCAATACTCTGTCACGGGTTCTTCTACAAGGCAATGCCCAGCTGCAGGTTGATCAATACTCTATGACTTGGACCAGGAAAGGACAAGAACCAAGAATTTCAGTCCAAACAGTTCCAGATCCACTTAACACAAAATGAAAGGAGGAGGACAACTTGTCCTCTTCCTCCTCCTAGTCCTAGACAGACTCGCCAAATCAAGGTGGAAAAAGCTAAGGAGAAAGCGAGCGCCTTGTTGAAGAGAAGGAAGACGACTGCCATGGCCAACGAGGCTGCTGACAGGTACCACTGCGACCCGGATTATCGGTTCTTGCACGACCGGGTTTCTGATCTTATGGCAGAGTGCTTGAAGCATGATATCCAACAATTCAACCAGCATCAGCACCAGCGTCGTGAGCAAGAGCAAGACCAAAAGAAAAAGAAGATGAAGAAGTTGGAGTTCAACATAACCAGTGTGGCCCGTTGCTTCCGATTCGTGCCGCCCCCTATGGACCAACTGCTGTATGAAACCGTTGCGAGGAATGTTTTCTCGCCAGGAGAATTAGAATCAGAATTTTCGAACCCAATGTCTCTGCGGCGGCGGCTGCGGAAAGAGATTTTGGTGCCCTTGAGACAAAGCCTTGGCGCCAGAAGAAGACGGAGAAGGTGCCAACAAGTGGGGTTATTATCAACGTCTGGTGTACGACGGAGAGCCCGATGTCTCTGATGTACTCTCTGCCTCTGCGGCTCGCAAGTATATGGTGGCGCTGAAAAAAGCCATTGCCGCCGCCGAGTCCAAGTCTGAGTCCGTGTCCGAGAACATGATTAATGCCGGTGCTGCGCTTCCACACTGGATCGTACGCTACGCCGTGGACAAAAGTGGTGGATTCGAGCGAGCGGCTGAGCTTCAGTGGAAGAGAATGCTGGAGGACGTGTACAAAAAGCAGGGGAGGCTGAGCAACTGCTTGGCTGTTTGTGACGTGGCGGCGTCGGAGTCGGTGGCTCTGGGGATGTTTGTGTCTCAACTGAGCCAAGGGCCGTGGGAAGGAAAGGTGGTGAGTCACACCCAAAACCCTCAGCTGCATTTGGTACGAGGCGAAGATCTCAAGTCCAAGTTCAGCTTTATGCACAGTTTGGAGGAGCGTCAGGACTGGGAGGTTGATCTGGGGAAGGTGTATGATTTGATTCTGGAAGTGGCGGTGAATGAGAATGTGAAGGCAGAGCAGATGGTGAGGAAAGTCTTTGTGTTCACCTGCTTCAAACACTTCAGTAACGGCTGCTGGAAGCCTCGCGGCGGAGATTATGAGGAAATACAGAGGAAGTTTGAGGAGAAGGGGTATGCCGTGCCGCACTTGGTGATTTGGAATCTCCTCAGTGTGCGGTATGCGCCGGTGCGTAGCGGAGAGCCAGGGGTGACGTTGTTGGGTGGTTTCTCCGACGCAATGCTCAAGTCCTTCTTGGAGAATGACGGTGAACTTAGCCCCGAGCAGGTCATGGAATTAGCCATCTCTCCCCAAAGCTATCAAACTCTGGCTGTCTTCGACTGATTGATTTTTCTTCATAAAAATGAAAGGAGCTTGGCATTTTGATCTCTTCTCAAAACAAGTTATATGTAAACTTGTTTTTTGTTTATTTTGTTATCAGTAACTATCAGCAACAATGCTGAATGAATTACTTGGCTTGGCAGTCTTGAAATTGATATTCCTCCTCTGCTCTGTTATCCCTCCCCTGTTTTTTTATTTTTATGACTTTTCAATTCGGATAAAAATCAACAGTTCAAAAAAAAAATAAAAAAAACAAACTCATCCGCATACAAGTGTGATAGAGAAGGAAGAGGAAGAAGTTGAATGTTTCTGCATTGCATCAAAGCATTTGAAGATGTGAATTAAAATCTGTAGATAAGCTGTGACAGGAGTGCCCAAATACTGTCAAAGATATGGTGGTGGGCTGGGCCTAAATGTAATTTGCCTTGGCCCAAATCTCTAGCCCAGATTTGAAACCCCAAGCTTTACTAAGTGTTGAGGGATTGGAGGGTAGGCTGAAAAAGCGCGGGAAAGTAGGCCCATATGTAGCCGAATTTGAAGAAGGAAGGGCAAAGGAGATATTACTGACTTCGTCCAAAAAAACAAAAAGGAGATATTACTGACTGATACACAGATTAGGGATTTTGTCTGAAAGAATTGGGGGAACCCAAGGGACCATAGTTCTGAGAAAAAACGCAAATGGAAAGTCAGAAGAAGAAGAAGAACAAGTGGCGGACTTGAGTGGTCAGGTGCACCTGCTCCCTTGCTCCATCAAATGCTCTGGCCCTTCCTCTGTTTCCCACTACTTCAAACCCAAACCCACCGGTAGGTAATATATATGCCCTCTTTTTCTCACAGACAATTGCGCAAACACTTATATGACATAACTGAGTAATGGGTTTTTCTTGGGGCTGATGAAGGAATTGAGTCTGAGGGTTTAAAGACGCAGGAAGCTAATTTCAGAGGAAGGAAGTTGCAAGGAGCCTCCATTCCCATCCCAAATGGGTATTCTGGTATGTCATTGTAGTTTCTGTCAGTAAATTCAGTACCTTGGTTTGTGTGGGCCCTTATCTTAGTCAATTTCTTCATCTAGTTTTTTTAGCTCTAGTTTGTTTGAGGTCAATGCTTCTGCATTGATGTTTTAGAGAGCTTGGGTTGTTTTGAACGGTGGCAAATAAAGCTTCTAACTTTATGTCTGAGATCGCCAATAAGCCAACTTTTTAAAGTGTTGTAAACATTACCCGCTTTACTTGGTTAAGTTTCATCCACTTTTCTCTTCAAGGATAAGCTTTTGTTATCTCATATTTTCGTGGTGCTTTACTCTCATTGTTACTTTCTTTTAGGCCCAACAATACAAATTTATAAATAAACCCAATCCTAGACATGTATTTATAAAAAAATCCAAGCACTATTTAAACATAGAAACACACCCAAAATTAACCCCAAAGTCAACTTTTTGGGTGTGTTTATAAATGGGTTTTGAGTGTGTGTAATGATGGGTTTTGGGTGTGTTTATATGTTTAAATAGTGCTTGGGTTTTTTTATAATTTCAACCCCCATTTTGGGTGTTTTAGTGAAACTCATCATTATGTCTGAAATACCAATTACAAAACCTTTTCCCATTATGTCTGAAATACCAATTACAAAACCTTTTGCTCATCATTATGTCTGAAATACCAATTACAAAACCTTTTCCTTTTTTGCTCCATTTTATAGTTTATTCTTCCTTCCTCCCTTTGAAGGGAAGTATTTGGGCACCTTTACTCTGGAGCAAAGGTGAAACTGATGTTTTCATGATATAGAAGTGAAGGGAGAGAAAAATGAGACCCAGAAAGAAAAGAATGTGGTAGATTAGTAGGAGATTTGTACCCAATTGATTTCGTGTTTGTATGTTATCATGGAAACATGTGATGGTAGGGGTGACTATTGTTGTGTCTTATAATTGATCACCCTCATTGAGGCTTATGTGAGTGGTTACCACCTCCCTCTGCCGCATTTTTTCCTCAGCAAAAAGAAATAGAGTTCTTTGGGACTTGGAGATGTGTGTGTTAGGGAGAGGCTACTATACTATCAAAAGGTGGCTATCGTTAAGAGCTGACGGCTAAGCCTCTACTTTCATAGGTTGTAAAACGAGTAGAATGATAGGAGCTTTCAAGGGAAGTGATACCCTTGTTAATTCAAGATGGTGTTGTATATATCATAGCGAATTCCATTTTCCTTGCCTTCCTTTTCCTTTTTCCTCAAATATCAAGCTCCTCTGTTACAAATGTACTTTGTTTCCAACACATATACAAACGCATACAAGCACAGTGCAGGCAAACATGCATGGCATGGAAACGAACATGCATCATGACAAAAGGGGTCTCATCCTATGTTGTTTTCAAATTATGTAAATGAAAAGTTCTCTTTCAATTTTTGAAGAGTCTCCTTAATAATAATTGTTCTGCAGGATTTGTTCTAGGGAAGAAGAGTCTTGGCAAGAGAAAAGCCAATACTTCTGAAGGGAACTCAAACTGTTGGGAGATGAATGCTAAATATAAAAGCATCACATATTGGAATCATGACAGCCTCCCTTCACAGGATGATGCATTCTTACGTTGTTTTCACTGGCTTGCTGTAGCAAAATCTGTAAGTTTGTGTTTGATACCTCATATGGTGTTTGATAAATCTTATTACATCAGTCAGTGGCCAGGTGTCTTGTGTATGTTGATTTCGGTTTCATATATTATCGTTGATCTACCGTTACATGTTTAATCTGGAATAGTTATAATTAGCTGTGAATAGTTATGTTCCATGAAGTGCTTTGCTTTTTAAGCTATTATCTATAGAATATATGTAGGGCCTGTTTTACAAGGGTTTGATGTGTTGATCCTAATTCAGCTAAGAAGTATATGTATCGTTCTAACAAGTTTGAATGGGTTGGAATTAGATTTGGTTTCAATTTTCGTTAGACATTAGTATATTACTATGTTACACAATGGAATGGACTAAAACCAGATCCGGCAAAAATCTATAAGCAATCATGATTTGGTGAGCTGGGGTGAAGTTGGATGCAATTGACTATCTTCTTGAGTTTCACAAATTATGTATATAACAGATGATATCCATGCACTCTTGAGTTGTGAAACTGAAATGTACTTTTCTATTGATTTTTGGATCATGTTGATAACTATTGCTTAGTTTTATTATTTGAAAAGTGTTCACTGTTCTTCATGCCTTTGTTTCTGACTGCAGATGCACGAACCAGCAACAGCGGAAGATTTGGTTTCTGCATCCGCTTCTTTGGAAAAGATGAAGTGATTAAGAAATGTAGGAAGCATTGTATCCCTTCCTCCACCTCTTCATTGTACTGGGTCGAATCAGCATTTCTGTATTATGAACTCTTGTAACATTGATATTTGATATATTGTATTGGCAGTATAATTTAATTTAACTTGTTTTTGAAAGTTTGATGAACCTCATCTTAAAACCAAAATTTTGCTCTTTTAATTGCAAGTTTGAAAATAAAAATAAAAACAAACTGCCCATTTTCTACGTGTTAATACATGCGACGGTTCGATAAGCATCAATAATAGTCATCTTAGTTGGATATGGCTAAAATTCCTGGCACATTAAGAAAGATAGAAAAACCATATAAAGGAATATGATCCCATTCTTGCAGGATGTGACATCAAGGGATGAACCCAAACTGCATATTGGGTACCAATTTGACCAAAAGAGCTTGAAAACATTTCATAGAAAAAGAAACTCGAATAGTTAATCAAAAAGCTATATTTTGTCAAATTCGTTTGAGTTACAAAAAATGACTTAAAGTTTGTTCTCTACATTACTTCCAAATTTTCTCAAACTCTAGCTCCTTCTATTGATTTTTTTAAAAAAATATTTAATATGTACAAACGCGTTGGCACCAAGAAAATGAGATTCTAAAAAGTATATGTGCTTTGCGTCACTAAAAGTGTAAGTTGCAAAATTGTATCCCACTAGTATCTTCTGTCACAATTATGCTTTGCCTGCCGAAAGGGAAAAACCAATGACAATTAAGAAACACCATATATTCTTAATATTGTTCTTGTACTTGTAATGGATGTCAATTTGCTTTGGTGAAGTAGCGGCCACCGTTGAAAATACTGAGAATTTGGGACGATCGAGCAAAGCAAAGCCAAGTGTGCCCAAGTTGATCAAGATAAGCTCTATGATACGTGTCAGTGGGTTTGGATGGAAAAGCTAGCTGGAACGAAATATGTTTGCACCATATTTTAGATTCCAAGCAGTCTTTAACGTGATAGAGATGCATGCATGGTAATATTGCGAGCCACCACAGAGGGAAAGAACAAAAGTTGTGGGCATGTCAAAGGAAAAATGAATTGACCTTTTTTAAAAAATTTATAAGAACGGTATTCTGAATTATTCTAATGTAAGGGTAGAAAGTTCGAATTTGAGCATAAAGGAACGGATACACTGACCTAACCAACTGGCGCCTAAACTCACATTTGCTTAATCGACATTTTCTTATGAACATGTCTCACGTTTATACATTTTTCTCAAGACAGTTTGGTAGTAATCCAAATATATTCCTCTTTTAGAAAGCCAAGGAACCGTCATATCAAGGTCCAAAGCAATCACTTGATTCCCTATGTACATACTCAATTTTATTATTATTTGTTTTGGTTTGGCATTTTCTTGTTCTGTGAAAGGCATTAGATTCGTTCTCTTTAGATGTCCTGGATTAATTTATATATAAAAGGCTAACTGCGGCTATATCTTCAAAACAATATAGAGGCAGCTGAAGAAAAAAGAAGAAGAAGAAGAAGAAGAAGCAGAGAAGAAAACAGACTTTCGTTGACATATGGCTATGACCAAGCCTCATTTCCAAGCTGATAAAGACGAAATAAACCGGCAGGACAAGGTAATTATTTAAGCATGTTATAAGATGTCACAATAAATTTCTTATAATATGTCTTTGTGGATCATGATGATTAATTCATTGCTAAATATCTTGAATAAATTTTCACATGTGCCTATATATATGTATATCTATATGGACCCATAATAAGTTTAATTGTATTAATGTTTACAGGAAGGTCGCCTTTGCTACAACATCAAACCACGAGGGCTTACCATTGTATTGGAAATTACCAAAGTAATGAATGAGTTGTATTTTATATGTTTGTACACTTACTATTAATTACATTGATGATTACATCTCTCATACGAATAAGATTCATGTGGGTGAGATTGCTTATGTGAGCATGCCACTTTTATGAGAAATATGATCAACAAATATAGTACATCTAGACAGGATGCGTTGACATAATTTCTTTTTACATTGTCTACATGCTGTGTATATATGATCATATCCTATATTACCACATAACCCTTTTTTTTTTCTTTTTGTGTGTGTGTGTGTGTGTGTGTGTGCAGGAAAGGGAGTGATGGTGATCCCGTGGAGCTGCTTCAGGTTTCTTGGCTGGAAGTGACGGCCACAGTTGACTTAGATCCTAAGAAGGAGTATAAAATTAGCTTTGAAGTAGAAGTGGCACCAGATGCATTTGGTTGGAGAGACATACAAGCTTTCTTGATGGCCAAGGTAGGGAAAAAGGGAAAGTACAGATGGACAAAAGTTAAACTAGCGCAGGATTCAAATGTAGGCAGATTCACAACTCCTGATACAAACGGGAACGGCCAGACATTTAGAATTAGAAGTGATGATGACGCAAATGCCGACAACACGCTTCATTTTGGTCTGAATGAAGTCTGGAGTGGAAAATGGAAGGGAGGCTTGAAAATTTATGAAGCAAATGTCAAAGAAGTAACTGGAAAATGAGCTCAGTTCACTCAGTCTTTTCTATTACATGCTTGCATATGTATTGAAATAAATATTTTCTACTTTGAGGTCTGTTACAGCGTCCTAATTCATGGTTTATGTGAGGATGGTCAACTCAACGAGGCCTTGATCGCCTGGCAGCAGATGTTGGGCAGAGGATATAAACCTGATGTTGTGGCTTACAGTTCAATGATTCATGGCCTTCGCAATGCTGGTTTGGTTGAGCAGGGTTTGAAACTTTTTAATGAAATGCTTTGTCAGGAGCCTGAATGTCAACCAGATGTCATCACTTATAACATACTTTTCAGTGTATTCTGCAAGCAGAGTAGCATCTCCCTTGCCATTGATCCTTTAAATAGGATGCTGGATCGGGGTTGTGATCCCGACTCAGTTACATGTGACATCTTCCTGAGAAGTTTGAGAGAAAAGCTTGACCCGCCTCAAGATGGGAGGGAGTTCCTAAATGAGCTTGTTGTCCAGCTCCAGAATTGTAGAAGTGATGCTGCAAAAGTTTTTGCCACCCAAAGCCTCTACTTGGACAAGAGTTGTACAAGAGCTTTGCAAGCCTAAGAAGGTCAGAGCAGCCATTGACAAATGTTGGAGCAGCCTATATTGCTAATTTTTAAGTAAGGCTTTTTTTATTTTTTGTTCTCCTCAAAGCTTGATTAGACTCTAACTGGAAACATTTCTTTCTTAATTAGGCGATCAAAGCTTAGATATTAAACTCGTAAGAGTAAAAAAGCTAGAGTTGATAACTTTTCTTTTCAGCCCCCAGCCCCCCAGCCCCTAACATGACACAGTCTAATTTTTATCTGGTAAAAAAAGTACTATTAATGTATGTGATTTTTCTTTCAACCACATGCAGTCCGCTTTCCTTTTAGAGTTGGGGATGTACCTTATAATTTTGAAGATTGTTTATGATACAAATTTGTCTTTGGATCTAAGGGGACATAGTATTCCAAGAAATGGAAAATCAATATTTCGTCTCTGCATAGAGTAATGTTATTTTAGTACCAGTTATCATTTTATAACATATTTTATCTATTCAGTTGGCATAGTTTCCGTCCATTGTACTGGAGAAGGAAACTAACAAAAATATGGAGGCTATTTTTTCGTTGGAGGATTAATGATATATGTGATCCAGCTTTTCTTGGGTACTTAGCATTACTGCCATTGACATTATCTACTTTACATTTCTACCAAATTGTTCTCGTATGACACTTTTCTGTAAAAGTAGATTTTCTTCAAGGTCTCTTACAGATAGCACTCTTGCAAATAGGGATGTGCGGACATCTGTTTCATGAAAATGTGCAAACCTTCAACAGACTCCCTCCCATTCATTCGCAGCATATGTCAAATCTGCAATGAGCAAAGGTACTTTACTGAAAACTTATGGACTCCAATCAAATCTCTTATATGTGTTTTAATTATGTTTTATTTGACTTTATTTTTGTTTCAGAAAGACATAGACAACTAAGGTTTTAAATTTTTCTTGGTTCTAAGTTGGTGCAGGTTGATCTGGGACAAGTAAACAATAAGCTTGTAGCAGAAAATTGAAATTTCTGTTGGTAAAAAATTGAGTTTGTAGTCAGGTAAGGACATGAAGACTGTTCTCTTATCTTCTGCTTGACATGTTATGTCATTGAATTTCTTGAACCTTGAATTACTCTCTCTTTTATTCTTCACTTTTATATGTCCAGCGTGCATTCTATTATGTATCCAAAACCAAAGACTACTTTGACATCTGATATTTGTGAAATAATCACACTGCTGCAAGTACAGTTTTGTTTATTGTTACATTAAGAATAAACTAGTTGCATATATAAAATGAAACTGAAGAAGCATTCCTACAAAGAACTTTCAGACGGTACTGTGATTTCAAGGCTCTGCCTTCTCTCTGATGTTGCTGCCATCGACTTTCAGGGATTCTGGCCGGTCTTGCTTGTGGGCCATATCATACGTTTAATGCAGACCAAAGAAGACATAGTAAATAAGCATTACTGCCGTGCAGATTCCAAATCTTTCAAAAGCTTTATGACCCAGAGATCCCATAAGAAAAATGTTTGTTGCAATTGACAAGGATGGCAACCAAGGAACCAGTGGAACCCTCCAAACTTTTGGTGACCTCTGTTGGGGTAAAAATACTGCCGTCGCCGAAGTCCCAAAGAACCAAATAGGAACTGTCACGACATAACCAACCCAACCATTGGGATTTAGTCCCCAGTAAGCCGAAGTCCCCATTGAAGAAGCAATGATGATCAGCAAGAAAATGACTAGCTTCAAAAGATGTCGTTGTGGGGTGATTTCTCTCACGCAGTACCTCCTCACAAGAAGTGCGATGGCCATCATCATGAAGCTAAAGAGTGTGCTCACTGATAACAGACCTGCCAAGACATCTAAGATCGAAAACAAAGCAATACAAGCACTTGGAATGACAATCAAGACTGTAACATTTGTGGGGGTTCCTGTCTTTGGATGGACAAGAGCAAACCATGGTGGAATCATGTGGGCTCATGCAATATGACTGATATACCGTGCCTGTCCAAGTGTCCCGGCCAGAAGAACTGTGGTCATTCCCTTCAGTGCACCTAGGGCTACCAGGTACTTGACCCATGTCATGCCCACACTTTGAAATGCTACAGAGTAGGCTGCATTTGGGTCTATATCTGTGTATTTCTGCATCATAGGCAGTGAAACTGCCATTAAACAATATACGGCAGTGGTGATTGACATTGATCCAATTAATCCTGTCGGTGTCTCTGGGTGGATTTTTGGTTTCTTCAGCCATGGTGGCGATATTGTCAAATCCTCCATAAGCAAAGTAAACAATTGCAGCTGCTTGAAAGACTCCTTTAGCCCCAAACGGAAAAAAGGGTTTCATATTTGATGGGTTGGCATGGATAAATGCTGCAATTATCACAAACATAATTAAAACATTATTGACTACAGATGCTATCCAGTTTAAGTAAGAGGTCTTCCTTGTGCTGATCATTGTAATTGTTGCAGCTATTGTCAGAACAGCAACAGCTATTGGGTCAAGTAGATTGAACCCCTCAGTTAGATTTGTATGGATGCGTAATGAGTTGGAGGGACTATTCAAGAGTGATGTGAAGTAAGAAGTCCATGACATAGCAACTGCTGCACTTCCAACAATGCCCTCAAGAAGTATGTTTCCTTCTGTTATGAATGCTATAAAGTTTCCTAATTCTATCCGCAGGTAAGCAAAAGCTCCACCTGCGATAGGGACTTCCACTGAATATTTTGTGTAGCAGAAGACAGAGAGCATTGCCGAGACACTGGAAGCAACATAGTACAAGACAATAGCTGGTCCAGCATGGTCATGAGTTTCTTGCCCAGTAAGCACAAAGATGCCTGCACCAATTACTGAACCAAATCCAAACCAGATGAGATCCCACCATGTGAGGCAACGCTTCATGTCATTTTCACTTTGCTTTCGAAGTTCCCCAATCTCATTGTTATCATCTGATCTGCTTATGAGACGGTTCTTGAACCTGCTTGTGACAGGGCTCTCTGATATGTGCTCCAACTTTGAAAGGATTCTTCTGGTAGGAAATCTTGTTTGCTCCATCTCCATGGAACCCATTATTCTATTTTTTCCCTTGTGTCCTTCCCTAGCACTTATCTCTTATGGCAATGTGAAATGCTAGAATATGGGATCCTGTCCTGAGATTTGGAATCTTATCTCCTAGTTCCTGAATTCTTTCTTCAATTATTGATAGTGAAACTGAGGTTGTGAGCTCAGGGCATAAGTCAAATGATGCAGACGATTTAAGAGAGACTTGTAAAAGCTTGTTTTTACTTACAAGTCTAGTGGGCTGATTTTCTTGGATTGTTTGGTATATATTATGACTAGCAAAGGGACCCACGCGGTGCTGCGGGTTATGAAATTACATAAAATGTGTATAAAGTTGTGGGAAAAAAGAAATATACAAACATGAAAATGCAGAAATGATGAGCAAACAAAACAAAAATAAAGAAATCCGTACCAAAAAAATAGTAAGAGTATAAGGAATAGAGAGGCAATCATGAATTATACTTTTAAAGCGAAGAATGGTTAAACAATTTGGGCGAACGACTACTTCCCTTATTTGGATTTTGTACCCAAGCTCTCCTGAAACAATCAAAATTTCATGGGAGCCAGAGATTAAATCAGGGGGGAAAAACAAAAGGAAAGAGAGCAGAATACACGTGGTAGAGCCAAGTCGAATTTTGAGGCAACACAAAAGGAAAAAAAATGTCAATAAATCAAAATGAAGAAACATTAACCTGAAAGTTATCTTCGTTTCTTTGCTTCAGTGATTGCTTATACGTCAGAGAGGTGAGAGACGATTGAATCTGTTGAGATAAAATTCCAAAGTTTTAATAAGACATGTAGATTTGAATAACTTTTAAATTTTCATAAGTCATACCTGAAGCAATTGGATGACTGCGTAACTATGATTCATACTGAAAAAAAGAAATAAACAATAATTAGAATGAAGTACAACAACAACCACATAATTACATAGCTTCAAAATACAACCAACCAACCAACCAACTTTAAGCAAAAACTTAAATTTCAGGATTCTAACAGTGTAACTACAAAAGAATTCTAACATTACACATCACGAAGCATGAAACTTAAATTTTATCCATACAACCCAAAACTAATATGAAATGCACAGTGAAATCCAAGTACAAAGGAAAACATGATTAGACATTCATGAAACCCAGAACTGAAATCAGTGCGTTACCTAAGAAAAAAAAAAACAAAAGGAAGTGCAGGGTGTCTTGCAAGTCATGTTCATCATGTTCATGCTTTAAAAAATCATAAACTAAAGTGAAACAATATGCGGATACCTAAAAAACAAATGCAATTTAGGTAAGCGAAAGCAGAGATGGAGAGAAAAGGAAATTTGTTAATTTGTTTTACTTTGCTAACAATATCCACAACTCAATTAATAAAATTTCAGATGGCAGTTCAACTATTTTGAGCTTAAATATTCAAGGAGAATAAGCACATAAAATAATAATGAAAAAAAAAAACACTTGAGGAGCATGCCACTGATTTGTGACATGAATATAAGAAAGAATCAACATCTTCATAAAGACAGTTAGAAATCCAAAATGGTTGAAACTGCATAAAGAAGATATAGTTCTTTTTCTTCAAAAATCCCAACTTCAGTGGTATAAAAAGAAATAATTTATTGCACCCTTAATCTTCGTATCAGAACAATCATTTGGTAGGCATGATTAGAAAAAAGGGAAATGCCAAGCCAACAAAAATTGCAGACACAGCCGTAGGATCATGGGAGAACACCTTTCCAAATGTATGTTACTCCTTTTTGGAACCTTGATCTCTTGAAGCTGTTCCAATAACAGTAAAATCCTTAATGATTGCAAAACCTTGTCCCATTTTTTTAAAAAACCATGAATCTTACTTATTTTATGCAGTTTGACATTTAATGAACACAAACGGAAGGTCTTGCTGTGAACTCCAAATAACTGAGCAATATGACTTGAATGCCTTCGTTGAAATAGATGCTTAAAAAAGGGAAATGCCAAGCCAACAAAAATTGAACTTAAAATGCATGTTCTAAGTAGTTAGCAGGAAGACCCAAAAACAACCAAAGTAATGTGAACTTTCGACTTTAGCAAGTAAGATGGAGAACATTGAAGGATTAAGAGCCGCAACAAATGCACATCTCATATAAAAAATTAGAAAATCAGAATAGATGAAAACCATTTGGTGAACCACAAACAAAGGAAAACCCATACATCTATTAGTTGGAGAAACGAAGGAAAACGCCAGAAAACAGAATCAAAATACTTTATAAATTACCATAAAGAAGTTTTTTTTTTTTTTTTGGGGCAGATACGATAAAGAACTTAAGTACACCAAATACGTGATCTACACCAAGTCAACTTCAGCTAGCTGATAATTTCATTGATATATGCCAAGCTAATAGACCGACAATTGAAAGGATAATGGATTTCATAAAGGACTACGTAATTGTATAGAAGAATATTTGCATGGCTTGTTATCTACATAAGTGATGCTATTTCCACCCCATATCATATTTTCTTACCCATCTTATCTTTAAAATTTTAAAGACAAATTTACCCATTTGTAAAATGACTTCTAAGAACTTAGGGAAAAAACTTTAACTCACGTAACCCACCTATTCTACCGTTTGACAAAAAGAAAAAGAAAGAAGAGAATTTGCTTGAATAAAAAACAAAAAAGATCTAGCAAATCAAGATATTAGACTAAAACAATTATCTAGTCTGTCAAACACAACTTGATCCTCTCCATATCTCAACTATTAATGATTAACAAAGAGAATTTGCTTGAATTAATAGTTAAAGGGTATTTTAGGAATAACGAGCGGTGGAAAGCTAGGATTACATTAGAGTTGATTATGTCCATAAACTTGTACAAGTGTGAGATTTTAACTCAAAATGCGTAAAAGGAAGTGTAAGTGGACAAAAGAGGAGTAGGAACATACAATTTCTAACAAAGGGAGTGTAAGTGGATAAA